ATTAGAACATTTAAATCTTAATTTAAGACTACACCTACCTATTTAAGGATTATTTTTCCAAGAAAAATAATTATAACCTATTTCTTAAATGTAAATATACCCTAGTATACCCAACTTGATGACAAGCTTATATTAATATTTTTTAAAATTTTTGGAGTACATATGTAGTAAAAATTTTGGCTTGAAATAGAAATGTCAGAAAATGACTTAATTATGAACACCCCTAACATATGATTTAGTGTGCTTATGCATTCGTATGCATTTATTGCATATCCTTAATCATGTACATGGTTTCATTTTAGGTAAAGCATATCAGCAAAGATGTGAAGCCATTAGAACTGAGTTTAACCCCATGCAGTATCAATAGCAGTGAGTAGTCTTCTTACCAAGTACAGTGTTTTCAAAACCAACTCATAAAATGTTTTCTTTCCTTAATGCTTATTAAACTGACTTTGTGCAACCTTTTCAAAATGGCTTTATTGTCTACATTATGACTACATTGCTATGAGAAATGAAAATCGAAATTTGTATTTGGTCTACATATTTGAACTATGAAACTTGTGCTATTCACCTGAATTATTTACTAGATAGTCACCTTATGGTGGTAGTACTACATGTTAATTCTCCAATGGGGTCTTACGACACCAACAAGTTATGCATGTTCATCTATAAGAATGGTGTTCTATGAAATGAGTATTTATGAAATGAATTTCATGACCAGTAGTACCCAATAGATCTTTCTCATGTCTCACGTTAATACCATACTCTATTTACATGCACGTTATACTTTACGTTTATGTACAGAGCTACTATATTTTTACTTCTATCTTTAACCATTTTTTAGTACTTTGCTATTGTTAAATTTGCAGACTTAACAGGTGAATTAGTTAGGTTTTAAACTATGATATGTCAATTTCTATTTTATGATATACGAATCTCTATTTTATGGTATGCTATTTATTTTCAGTTATATCAGCTTCATAAACTGTCTTTATAAAAAATGGTTATATAAACACATTTTTATTTTCTTAGTTTTAGTTGGAGGACCATTTAATGAGATACCAGTTTCATCACTTACTTATTTTTTCAGGTCTCAACAGTAGTTGTATCACGAGCATTTAATGCATTAGTATCTCAATCTAGAGAGGTTGGTCCAAGTTTTGAAATATTATGGACAGATTGGTTGAAATGTTGGGGAGAGGAAGTCAAATGGTGTTATGTATCTATGTTGGTGTTTTATTTTGAAAAAGAGAAGTCGTGTAAACTAAATATGTGACAACCCAAATTGATTTCGGTTTTGGTTTTATATAACTTTATGTATTTAGTTGCATTTAAAATTTATTTGGAAAGAATTTGAGAGGTTTGAGATGAATGGAAGCATATATAAAAGTTTGGAAATAAGTTGAGTTTTTTTTTTTAAATAATTAAAAAATTTATTGTAGCACATTACAGTAGAGCGCTAGGCATTAGATGGGGCGTGCCGTAGTGCGCTAGACATTACCTAGGACGCATTGCAGCGTGATAGAGGCTAAAAATGAGTGCCATAGCACGCTAGACACTAGAGGAACCTTGTTGTAGAATGCCAAACACTAGAATTATGGCACTATAGTGTGCCAAACCGTGCCATGGCGCTGTAACGCGATTTTTCATTTTTTTGCAAAATATTTAGAATTTTTAACCCTTCCAATAACCCTTAAGACCTCTTAGACTCATATAACTATAAAACAAAGATTTTGGTGACATCCTAAGATACCTAAAATTGATCAAAAAATTTATAAGGGTTAAAAATTGAGATGTTGTAAGTTAAGGGCAATCGAGTAAATTTGCCCTCATGACTCACTATATAACCTTCTACACCCATTCTAGAGTCTCCCAAAAGGCAAATCTTGCATGAACAACCAGAGAGAGAAGGGGAGGGAGAGAAAAGTGTAGAAAATGAAGAAAATCAACTAAAAAGGTAAGGAATTTCACTAGTATTTGGTTTATTCTTCAAAATTTTGTACATCTAGCTTATTTACTCCATTTTAAAGCTTTTAATTGGTGTAAATTTTGTATTTAATGATGTTTATGTGTTGTAGAGAGAGAGAGGTGGGTTTAACTTTACCCGTATGAAATATTGCATAATTTTTGTGAATTTTGGCTAAAATAGCTTTAAAATTTGCTATGTTTGGGTAAATTTATGTTGATGATGGATTTTGTAGATCTTAATCTTGTCTTTCTGGTTAGAAATAAAGAGAAAGAGAGAGAGAGAGAGTAAAAGGGATGATATTAGAGTAGAGAGAGAAGTAAGGGCATGTTTTGTTTGAACCCAAAAGTTGAGAAAGAGAGTAAAACCTCATGTTCGTGTAATGTAGGGCATAGACATACATTTGTATTCTGCATATAGAATGTTATTTTCATACATATGTGTATCTCACGTGCAGGAGAGGAAAGCAGAGCTGAGCCAGACCCCGAACATATAGCTCTAGGATCTCATTCTTAAACCATCTACATTTTGGAAGTGACATGTTTTCTAAATTTAGCTTTTTGATTAAATGTATATTTAAGTGAAAATATGAACTGATTTGAAATCATAAGTGTATTTTTGGTATAAAAAACATGGAAACAAAGCGTTTATGTTTTGTTTTTATCATATATGTAGGTTTTAATGATTTCATAAGACTTTAGTGTTTCGGCACTTAGACTAGAATGCTAGACAACTATTCAGGATACGTGGCAGTTCTACGTATATAACATTAGACCCAATGGCGTCTCAAAGTACCACAGATTGCGTCAACCTAATTCGAAATGGTAACCCACGGTGCAGGTTATACAGTGTAGTAACGTCCGACCTATTTAAATGGTTTTATATTTTAAATGTTTTACTATACTCAGAGATTGTCGGCTGTGCACACTAATCAAAGCTATATGACCTATGCATGACTATAATTTAAATGTGATTCTCTAATGTATTTCTTGAAGTCTTTTTTATGGACCATGGGTATAATTGGTATACATCAAAACAGAAAGCATTTTCTATAATGTTCCTTATTTATACTTTCTTTGTTATAAATGTTTACAATGATAGATTTGTATACTATAAATATTGAATCCTCTATTTTTTCCTAAGTTTAGTTTATATGCCATTTACTGGAATATTATTCTCATTATTTTATTTTTACAGCTTTAGATATATATAGTTGATACCCTCACCTACTTGGTATCGCACGTGCATTCATATCTCACTAGTTGAGGTGGTCATATATAGCTAAGAGTATATTCTATAGTAGTTAGAATTATTTTGCAATAGTATAGCTATGTCATTTATATTAAGACTTTTGTATAGTGATCTTTTGTATAATAATAAATTATAGTACATAACTTCTTATTTATGAGATGATAATAATGACGATGTAGATATACTTGTGTTAGAGGTGTATTTATATTGCATATGCGTGATAATAGCAAGGCACTTACTATTAGTAGTGAAGTAACTTTCAGATGCGAATGATGTGTTGGGGATATATATTAATATTGTTATAGGTATAGGTTGAGTTTAGATAGAAGGGGTTCAGTAGTTGATATTTTGCCAGATTTTTGTCCGATAGATGTTGGCCATTGCCCAACTATCGCGCTCTGCGAGTGGCTAGATGTGCAAGGTGTGACAAAATATGCTTTTTAGATATGTATATAATGATTTAGTTTTATGTTATACATGTTAAGTATGTGTTATGTTCTTCAGTTAAATTATGTGAGTTAGCTAGTTGACTCAGCAAGTAAAATAGTTGAATAGGGTTTGCTTTCTCCAGTGAATTCTAGACATTGAAAGTTGTTAAACCTTATTATACTGTTGGTCTTTGCTTGAGTTATTAGGGTGGGATGTGATAACAGGGGGTTGGTGGTAATTGAATTAGGCCAATAGTGATAGTCACAAGAGGGCAATGGTTGGTGGGCAAAGATAATGAGGGTCAAATGCAATCAATTTGTGGGAATATTTGCAAATGCTTTTGCTTTTAGCAACATACGGTGGATTCCGGTTTGTCAATCAAGAATCTTGGGAGTTTTAATTTTAAAAAATATATAAATATTGTTAGACTTGACGTATCTTATAAAGTTGATAATCTTTTCCAACCTGCATTATGTAAATAATCCTAAAATGAAATACACAAAAAGAATCCTAAATTAACTCCCACTTAATTATGTAGCATTTTGGGGCAACGGTCATGCCAGCTTTGTCCTCCTTTGCAACCATTAATCTCTCTCTCTCTCTCTAAGATATAATAGCATAGGATTTAGTGGCCAAAAATGGAGTGATGATAATGCAATCTCTGTGTTTACTATAGCGCCAAACAAAGGGGGACCTCCTTGGACGGCATTAATAGCACGTCTCGCTGTTTTGCCTGTTGCATCCTGCACTTGCTCCTGGTGGCCCTGGTTCAATAACGACAGTAGGACGCAAAGAAGGCGTGCTTTTCGCGTGGGAAAGGAGAAGTGGCTTTAAATTTTTAATTATATTTGAATCTTAGTTTTGACTTTTAATTACTGGTTAACATAGAAAAGTTAATTCGTTAAAAAAAAATAAAAAAAATTAGTTCTCTTAAATCGGGAAAATTCGGAGTTGAGGAGAGAGGCTGGAGGGATCTGCTGCAGACTAAAGTTCAATATAATCTTAAATATTATTTTTTGGCTTATTGGTTATTTTGAGTTTAAATTGCTAAAAAAACGGTTTTTTACGCTCTTTATTTGTTGTTTAAAAAAATTACCTTGTTCTTTTTATTTTAGACAATCCGTTAATTAAAAAAATTCACTTGAAAAAATCCATTTGAATATTTTCCATTCTGCCATCATTTATAACATTAATGTTTAAAAGGTTGCAAAGAAAAAAATATTTATTGCAAAGACAGAAATTGATATATGCAATTAATCATGTGGGGTGTCTAACACGCCATTCGCGTGGCACTTCAAAAAAAAAAAAAAAAATCGTACTGTGCACGTTGCGTTCACGATGTAACAGTACAAATATGAGGGCTGTCCCCGTGCTCTTCACCGATATACTAGTAGTTGCAGGGTCTTTTTCTACAATCAACTGAAAATGGAATCAGCTTCACGTCCCTTGAAAATTTGCTTCTATCCCTTCTTCGCGCCGGGCCACATGGACCCGCTCTTCGAAGTGGCTCGACTCTTCGCTGTCCGCGGCGAGCACGTCACATTCATCACCACCCCAGCCAACGCCGCCATGCTCAGGAAACCGTCGACAAGGATGTCGCCGCCGGCCGCCACGTAGCCTCCACATCATCCCCTTTCCCTCCAAGGAAGTCGGCCTCCCCGAAGGCATCGAGAACATCATCCATGGCTAAGACCTGGACACCGCCGGCAAGATTCACAAGGGCACGAATCTCCTCCAACAACAGATCGAGCAATTCCTGGATGAGTGCCCCCCAGACTGTATCATCTCCGACATGCACCACCCGTGGACCACCGATGCTGCTGCCCGCCTCCGCATCCCCCGACTCGTCTTCCATGGCACGTCCATGTTCGCCCGCTGTCTCGACGAAGCAGTGCGCCGTCCCGACTCGCCACATCGCATGGCCAAGTCCGACTACGAGCCGTTTTGTCATCCCGGGACTGCCCGATCCCATCACCATGATGCGGTCTCAGCTCCCGGACCACATTCTCAAGCCAAACAGGTATTGCCAAGAGGTTTTTAGTATATAGCTTTTTAGCTGGTGAATGCCTTATTATATTTAGTGATTTCTTTTTTAATCCTAGTTCTATCTAAATGCTAGAATAATATTAACAAATATATTTGGTATAAAAGTGGACAATAAAATAATATCAAAAATTCTATAAGTAATTATTTGTTTTCATGAAAAAAAATTATTCTGTTTCTTAAAAAAATCTCTAGAAAATCACAAAAACAGTCCCAATATTTTATATTTTCAAAAAAAAAAAAAAATCCAAATAGACCTCAACCAAAAGCTATTATCACTCCCGTGAGAGTAGTCGTGACCCACTGTTCCAACAGGTACACCCAATTGGTTGAGCAGTGGCGGGACGCCGAATTGAGGAGCTACGGCGTCGTGGTGAGCAATTTCTACGAACTTGGATCTGCTTACACCGACCTTTACCAGAAGCTAATGGGCCACAAAGTCTTCAATCTTGGCCCTGTGGGGCTTATTCAGCAGAAACAGAGGAGAGAAGGGGCAGAGGGCACACAAGGCGGTGATCGGAGATGAGGAGTGCCTCGCTTTTCTAAAATCCAAAACACCTAGTTCAGTCCTCTATATTTGCTTCGGAAGTGCGTGCATATTCCCGGATAATCAGCTAATGGAGATAGCGTGTGGGCTAGAAGCATCGGGCCATAACTTCATATGGGTTGTGTTCGGCAAAGACGATGAAAAAGAAGGAGAGAAAGAGAAGTGGCTGCCAAAGGGTTTGAAGAGAGGACGAAGGGGAGGGGGATGATAATAAGGGGATGGGCCCCACAGTTGTTAATTTGGACCATCCCTCAGTGGGTGGGTTCTTGACTCATTGCGGTTGGAACTCGGTGATCGAGGGGGCCACCGCGGGTTTGCCCATGATCACGTGGCCTTTGTACGCCGAACACTTCTACAACGAGAGGCTGGTGATCCAGGTACGCAAGTCAAAAAAAAAAAAAAAGTGTATGTCTATATATATATATATTAGAGTTATCTTTGGAATTTTTTATTATAAATTTAAATATTTATCATTTACAAAATTAATAAATAACATAATACTACACTATTATGTGAGTGCAAATTCATAATTACTGAAATTTTATAAACATATGTTACAAAAAAAATATATATATATATTTATATATATATGCACGTATATATAAACATGTACCCTAAATATCTAAGATGCTAACACTAAAGAAATAATAGCTTAAAAATCAAATAAATCTTGATGCATTTTTGTATATTATCTTAAATTATAATTAAAATAAATATATAACATGACACTATTTGATGGGTGTAGGTATTGGGAATAGGGGTGGGGTTGGGGAAGAAACAGTGGAGTCAGTGGGTGTGGGACTTCCCCGAGAATGAGGTGGTGGGGCGGCTAACCATAGAGGACACAGTGAGGAGGGTGATGGATGCCGAAGATCCAGCTGCAAAGATGATAAGAGAGAAGGCAAGAGCGTTGGGAAAGAAGGCACATGAAGCCATGGAAGAAGGTGGGTCTTCTTATCAGAATTTGACGGTTCTGATTCAAGAACTGAAAGATCTAAGAGAAAGAGAGGCTGATGATAGAAGAAAGGGGATTAGAAGAAATGTTGAAGTTCTGCTCTTTTTTGTTGTCAAATTTTTTGTACTCTCGAGAGAGATAAATTTCTTGCATTGCTCTCTCTCACCGCCCAGGAAAACTTGGGGGACAATAAAATTAGTATTAATATTTTTGATTGCAAAAAATTATCTTCCACGTCAAATTTTAATTTTATTGATCGTTGGAAACTACGTACGGCTACTTCTAAAAGAAACTGATTTTAAGTTTTAAAGGGTGCAATATGCAGAACATAATAAATAATAAAAATTAAAACATATTTATCTAATTTATTTATTTATTATTTTTTAATCAAAGAGCATATTTAACACATAATATGCAAAATTCACTTAATATTTATATATATTTTTTAAGAAATTTGTGTTATATTTGTTTTATTTATGTTAATTAGATTTTAGTACAATTATTTAGATATGGGAACAAAGTAGAGGGGTAGTATTGTCATTCCAACATCCATCATCCCCATATCGTTAAGCACAAGTTTCCAACTGATATCATCAGGAGAACGTGTGAGAAAATTCAAGGATCTAGACAACAAAGATTGGTTTTGTTACATAAATTATGATGAAGGAATCTCTTTGAATATAACCCCAGAAATAAATAAGAACTATACTAACATCCATTAACATTTCGAGCTTGTACATTTGATTTTATGGGGTAACTACAAAAAAAACCGTCCAACAGAGCTCTTCTCCGTTGTTCAAGATGAGCCGCCTTGTTAATTGCTCTCCCTTGTCATTGGTCTCATGACAGTTTCATCTCGAAAAAGGGGGAAAAAAGACTACAAAGAAAGCCAATGATTCGGGTAATTGAAGATAAAAATAAATACCCTATGGTCACAGCTCCAAGCTGGACGGACGATCCATGCCTCTAGGGGTCAGGCGCCCTTTGGACGACCGCTCTACTGGCTTTGCTTTGAAGTTTGATGCTGAGTACCTATAGAATAATCCTTGCTACACTTTTATACACAGATGACAAATTGAGCCACGTTCTAGACCGCTTTTAGTGCTCCTAGCCAACTCCAAAAATTGTGCATCTGAGATACAAATGCCCATACAAGATGCATTTCCTTAAGCTTGTGCTTTATTGATCTGAAACTTCTATTGCCATTCTCATCCAGGCGGAACGATATGCTTCTTGTAACAAAATCAGCTTTAAGAGGGGATTTTGAATTTGGCTCTCTTGAGGAGAATCATCACACTCTGAAGAAAATTATCAAATTTCGTTAGCATAAATTGCTGCAGTAGCTAGCGTTGGAGACATCTTTGCTGTAGGATTTGGCTAAACGATTTTAGAAGGGAAAAGAAAATGGAAAGGAGATCAGATCATTCATTATGTTCATTTCTTGTGACCAAACAGTTTATTATTGGCATATAATTTGCATCATATGCTATATTTGTTAGTCATTTTCCTCTCCTTTACTTTCCCTTTCATGCATCCAAGATTCAAAGATAGCACAAATTCATGCTATTTTCGATCCATAAACCACGGGACAAATCAAATTTCTGAACACAAACTACCCAGTACCAAGAAAGGCACTAGTCCTATGAAGGACACAACAAAAGATCAACAGTTTCCAATCCCCTTGTGAAAGAGTAGAAAGAATTATAAACTTGGATTAATAAACTATTTTAAACTTGTACCCTTCACAGTCTTTCAAGTTAATCCTTTTTTGATGTGTGAATGTCTATGCGTCTGTGTGGGTGGACGGCTTGGAGGGTCAAGCAAATTGCTATTTAGTTTAGAAACAAAAAAATTGATTCATGATTTAAAGAAAAAAAAAGTTACCAGAAGACGCTGGAAGCTTATATTGCCTTTCCAAAAACTTGGCGGCTTCCTTGTCCTTTTTGTGGCATAATACCCTTATTAAGATGTCAGCATCTCCAAAGCACCTGAAACCCTCTTGATGTGAATCCTGAAGAGCTTAAATCTGTTCGCTTGCAGCCATCAACATTTTGATTACAGATTCAGTCTGCGAACAAGAAGTGTCGTGGAGAAACATCACTTAACTCAGTCTGCAAAATGTCAAATTGTCAACAGAACGCCCAAATCAGTTTTTTAATTAATTCAGCACCAAACCAGGAGGGAAAATAAGTTTAAGACTTGATGAGCAAAACTTGCTTCCTTCTCAACAAGTGAATGCGGAAGGCCTTCTTCATCAGCTACAAATAAATCCTATAACACATAGCAGCATTGTTTTATTGATGAGAACCTAAAGCATAGTAAATTGGGAGCAAAAATTTGAGAAGTGGGGACAATTTATGAGTAAAAGTTCAACTAACAAACCTTATCTTATAAAAAAAGTAAAAGGTGAATTGGTTTTGGTGGATTGCGCCAGCAAGATTGGTGGTATATATCCAAAGTAATAAAAGGAATTCATGCATTCATGAGATGCAAAGAAAAAGGGCAGCAGATGATGTACAAGGATATCTGATGTTTCCCAAATAAATATTTTACCAATTTAATGGGCAATGAGATAGTTTAGGAATACAAACGGCCTAAATAAACCAGAATCATGAAGCAATCTGTCAGTAACCTGAGTGGGAGAATAGAACTATGTTGAGACCATTTCTATATTTCTGAAAGGCAGATTTTGTCACAATGTGAAGTCTATCTCATTTGATCTAGGTTCCACGTAAGTAAAAGGGGGTTAAGGCTGCATATATCCAAGCTTCCTTCATGGCTTTACTCAGAAGCTTCACGCACAAGATCTACAGGGTGAATGAAAGTGAGAGGAATGTTACTCAAACAATTGCCAAATTGTGGAAGCAACTAAAAAGTAAAAAAGAAACCACCCCTTAGATTACTTAAGCAGTTGGAAGGGTAAGGTAAGGGGGGACATATAAGTGGGCCGAGATAGAAGAGCAAAATAAAAAATGTACTGATGACAAACAAGCATTTTACCCTCCAATTGATTCAATATTTTTCCCTTGCCCTTCCCTCTATTCACCTTTATATTCTTTTTCTTCTTCTCCAAGCCTCAAAAATGTTTTCAACTAATAATTTTTTTTCATTACTTTCTGAAGATTTTACTTTTGGTCTTAATGGCTTCTGTTCAGTGAGTTAGGTTTCGATGCCTCCTGGACCAGCTTCCTTTGAAAGTACTAATGCACAGAAATTCATTTGTTTAAAACAAAGAATAAGGGACCTATTTGCATCCAAAGACATTTTGCAAAAGCTTGCCAAGTCTTGGGTGTGGCTCCTCTTTAAGATCCTTGGGACTTGAGATTTTAAATGTCATAGCTGGTTTTTGGGCTTTAGAGCTCATGTATATTAAGTACAAAATTTAAAATTGGGCAACCTAATGGGACCTGAGTTTGTTCGTGGTTGGGATCAGAATTTTGGGCGGGACAAGCATGGTGGGGTTTGCCGGTAGCATCTCGGGGTTGGCCGGGAAGAGGGGCCCCCATCCCAAACCCACCCCATGAACATCCCTAATCACAAGGTGGAAGAAAAGAAGAAAAGGCATGGAGGACAGATCTTCTTAAAATCAAAAAATGAAAAAACGGTGCAATGGAAGAGAAAAGGATCAAACACCTTTAACATATTAAGATCATCTTCCATCAGGGTGATATCTGAAACTGAAAAGGCGCGAGAAGGGCCTCCATCTAGCAAGACCCAGACAAAGCCTTCCTGTAACATGAAACCAAAGAAAACGAGAACCGTGTAAAATTTAGGACCCTGGCAGGCAGCTTTTGTAGCACAGACTTACCATTGCTGCTCCACAGATGCTCAAGACAACAAGATCTCTGAGACTGTCATCAATGAAGCCACATATCTGGTTGAGGACCTACATAAATGCTTCTAGAGTACTCAAGAAAGGTCTCGTCTTCTTTGACTAACCACAAAATAAAATCGAGCATAGAAATTTCAACGATAGAGAGAGAATTACTTAAATATCTTACAGTGGTCAAATGTGGAAGAATAGTTTCCAAACGAGCACTTTCAACATTGTCGTACCCCGCCTTGTATCTTGAGCGAGGTGTGCTAGTGTAAAAAAGTTTAGCAACTTTCGATGTCCAGAATTCATCGGAGAAAATTAAACATTGTTCAATTATCGTATCTGTTATGTTAAATGTACAACTCACATTTAAAGATTTAAATAATATAACATAATTTGACATAGCGTAAAAGAAAAATTATATCGATATCATAACTAAAAATATAATTATTTTATATAATTTCTCATTTCTAAACAACATTTACGTGTAAAATAATTGTCTAATATTCACTCATACATAACCCAAACTAGGTACTATTGGCAAGATTGGAGTCCAACTTTTCTATATGCAAGATACTGATACTAGATGCATGCAAAGTGGCTATAGGTTTTTACTACTAAAACCTAAAAATAAATAAGCGGTGAGATTTGTGTCCCAGTGAATGGTCTTCTAACTAAAATCAGTGAAACAGAAATATGTTGTATAATACTGTAAATAAAAATAGTTCGTAAAATTAGTATAACTGATATAGAATATCATATCGTGAGTTATCAATTCACTTATCATAATTTAAAAATAAGGTTAATTCAACTGTTGAGCCTGCAGATCTAACCATAACAAAATATCTTAAAATAGCTAAGAATGAAAATAAGAACATAACGGCTACATAAATAAACATGAGGTCTAACGTGCACGTAGACATAAATATAACATAAGAAGAATCCATTGAGTGCTACTGGTCATGAGACTCGTTCCATAAGACATTACTCTTGTGGATGAACACATATAATTTGTTGGTGTCGTAAGGTCCCACCGGACAAATAAATCATATAGTAGTGCCACACTAACATGACTACCTAGTAAATTATTCAGGTGAATTGCAAACATTCGTATATATATTATATATATATCATACAGCATAAAAATGAGATTCTTGTTTTCATTTCTCATAACAAAATAATCATAACATATAAATTAAAAGGCATTTTAAAAAATAAAACCTTTGGTTTTAAAAGTAAAACATTTATTTGTAAGAAAATATTAATTTTGTTATTTTAGGAAAATACTAAATTTAGGAAAAAAATCACTTACCTCTGTTGATACTGTGTATACTCAAACTCAATCCTGTTGGCCTCACTGACTGACCGGTATATTTCTCTTAAAGTGTAATTACATACGTTATCAATAACATGCCAAAACTGTGTATGAATGTATGAATATGCTAGTGCATACATGAGATGTATTACTAATTAAGATGCTTTCTACATTTTTTATTTTGGGGTCCAAATTTCCAC